GTGTGTGTGTGAGTGTGTGTGTGTGTGTGTGTGTGTGTGTGTGTGTGTGTATAGAATAGAAAAAGAATAGAGCAAGCTAGTGTTAGAGGCCTTTTTGCTTTTGTTAATTGATAAATAAAAAGAAAACAAATAGATAGAATACAAAAAGATTAGAGAAGCTAGTGTTAATTTTTTTTAAGAAAACAAGCCGTTAGTAAATTAATAGACTGCAAGTCAAAAATGGGCAAGTTTTTTTAGTTTTTTTAAAGAAAACAAGCAGTTAGTAAATAGACTGAAGTCTAAAAGGGGCAAAACATTTTTTGAATTAGAGAATTAGAATAGAGAGTGCTAGAGTTAGAGGGTCAAATAAAGATGGAAGAGATGTGTTAATAATATAAATAATATATATATATATATATATATATAACATTTTTGGGTGAACTAACCCTTTAACATTTTTCATAAGATAATTTCCCGCGTTCACGGTCACACTTATTTTGCAATGACGTCATTGCGTCCGTCTAGACTCCGCCCACTTCGACTTTACCCGCGTTCCGCGGCCAACGGGATGATCAGCAGCTGAATTATATGTGCGTTACGATGACTGACAGCCCAACGCACCAACCACACCAATCATTTAATCTCATTCACAAGCGTTAGCCAATCAGCGGCGCAGAGACGGCGCGTCGGGAGCCAATCACGTCCCTCCGTTCGTGTCGTCCGGTGTCAGAGGTCGCTTCCCCTGCCGGCTTGCATTCGCTCGTCTCTCTTTCTGAATCCAGCAGCGATGGCGGAGCAGCAGCAGTTCTACCTCTTACTGAGCAACCTGATGAGCCCTGACAACACCGTCAGGAAGCAATCCGAGGTATGGAAGTCGGGTCGGGACCGTTTTGTGTGGATGTATGTCGGGAACTCTCGGCTCGCAGTTTTAGCGCGGGCCGCTCAGCCTCGCTCTGGCCCAGCACATGTGTGAAGCGCGCGCTGCTGCTATGCGGCTCCGACTCGCTTCAGAGAGTCGACTCGCTTCAGCGAACCGACTCCTGAAACAAATTCCTCTGTTATTTTGAGTCATCTCACAAAATTGCTCGTCGTGTGGCTCTTTGCTTTTCTTATGTGTTGTATACAATTTTGATTAACTTATGCGTTGGATTAAATGACTTTTATTTGATTCCGATATGTTTTTAAAGGTTAATTTGAGACTGTGACTATGGACCAAATTGTTATCGTTTCTAGTAACATTGACGTTATTCGCTCTGTACGCTATCGGATTTACAAAGACTGAATTCGGTTTAGCTTGCACTCATATTAATCCTACTATATCTGTTTTACAGGGATTGTAGGCGTAAGACGAAAGAGATGCCATTTCGAAATCAATCAAACCCTCAGTTCGACCGAATCATTTAAAGGAATCGATTCAAATGAGCGAATCGGACATCACTGTTGTGCGTTGCGTATCAACGTGGCCTAACCAGCATTACAGACATGTGTATTACGTGTTTGTGCACCGTCTCGGTTAAAACGCTTATAAATCAGTCGTTTTCCTAATTTAGTCTTTTAACGTCGTCCGTCTTGTTCTTGCGTTTTTATTCGAGCCAAACTCGTTTTAAACGAGTCGCATTTGCGTCTTATTTTCCGAGAACTCAGTCAAAGTTAAGAACGAGGACCACACAAACAAAATCGCGATCTGTTTGTACTTTTGTATGCGTTTTACCTGATTTATATCGACAAGCAACACGATAATCAAACAACATTTCTTAGAAGAATGATGCATATTTAAACTCTTCATCGTCGCTATTGTGGCGAGTCTTGTGTTTCACTCATTAAGCAGTAACTTTACACCCATCTATCTTCACGCCAGCTTATCACAAAAGATGCCCATTCATGCTGTCATGTTATGGAAACACTTTGCATTTGGGTCAGGGATTTAAGTTTCTCGTTATATTAAATATAAGCTTATGAACCCACTTTTGCATGGAAGGTCACCAGCGTCCCAGATTTCGCGGCAAATTCGAATTTTCCCCCCAAAACCTGGCTCCCCATTGGCACGTGTTCAGACTAGTCTTTTGTTAGGCGCTTCTGTATCCGTGGGGAGCTCAAACCTGAGCTCATGTGGATCAGGATGGGTCATTGGGTCTTATCGCTCATCTCTGCCGTCGGTCAGCACTTTCCTTTAGCACAGACAACGCTTGACCAGCGAGCCGCTAATGCCGAGCGGAAACAGACTTGCACGCTCACGGCGTGACAAGGGCCAACTGGCCCCCAGAAATCAGCTGTGATGTCTATGTCTGGCAGTCCTATGAAATTATTGCCGTCTTTTTTCCCCGAAAGCTTTGAGGTGTGCAAATTCCTTGTTTCGGTTACACGTTCCCATTGCACCGTTCATTCCAGACATTCTGCGCATAACCACGTCCATTTGTCATTTGTAAACACTCCAAGAATCTGTTCGACTCATGCAAACTGAACATCTTAAGAGGCTTAGTTGGTCTCTTTGCTCCTCCTGGATGAACAGGATGAACTTGTTAGGCTTTTAAAGCTGTAATCTTTGCAAAAACATTTGAAAAATGTGGTCCTTCCACAAATAAGGCCTTAAAAGTCTGAAATTCGAGTAGATGGATGCATCTCAAAAAACGAATGCCTTAGTGTTTTTGTTTTCCGATATGAATATCTAAGCATCCTCAAATCAAGATGCATTTGCTTGAGATGCAAATATAATGAAGTCTTGGAAAAACTGAACAATTAGGGTTATGCTTGAAACGAGAACAAATATCGGACAATTGAGGAGTGAGTGTTTCCATTTGATTGGCAAATATTTGTTGTTTTCTGTGGAATTTCAGTGGGCTCTTTTGCATCTTAAGTAGATGTACACATTTTTAAGAATCTTTAGAAATTTGCACTGGAAAACAAAACCCAATATTGAGCAGGAACTTCACTTTTATTTTACTTTTTTTTTTTTTGCAACTCCTAGTCACAATCTCAAATTAATCTTTAAAGTCTAACCAAACATATTGGAATCAAATAAGAGTCGAATACAAATAAGAGTTGATTCCTTATATTCGGTCTTACAACTGTCATTAACTTTATCAACTTCTTCTTTTGTTCTTGTAGGAAACGTATGACACCATCCCCGGTCAGACGAAGATCTCATTTTTACTGCAGGCTATCCGTGATGCGTCCGCTGCCGAGGAGGTACAGGAGTCTGTTTACTGTCATCAGAGCTGTAATATTTATTCCAGGCATCCATTTAGACTCTGTGCACTGTCTTTAAACCGTATAAATGGCAGAAAGTGCTTTGTTTACGCCGTCCGAGATGTTGTTAGTAGTTAAGTAACACCGTTGTGCTGACCGTGAGCGGGTGAGGTTAAATGGAGAGACTGGTGTTCTTCAGACTGGACCTTGTTTGCGCTTGTTGACTTCTTTTCCTGGAAAAACTGATTGCTCAAGATGAGATCCGCAACTTATTCAGACTAACCTGCGACGGTTCAGAGCCGGAGTTATAGTTGAGGTTTTGACTTTACAAGAGCAGGCTTGCACAGCACTCTTAACCCTCGGTAAACCTCTTTTAAAACCCAGTGTTGTAACTATTGTTTCACAATTTGTAGTTCAGTTGTGTTTTTTTTATTTATTAGTTTTTTTTATTTTATGTTTTTTTCTTTTATTTATTTATTATGGGCTGCATGTTTAATTGTTTAAATCAATTAAAGGCTGAGATTTTATTAAATATACACTGTTTCAGAGGGAAGCGTGTCAACTAGGTCAGCCATAAATATTAATGTACTCGATCAGTTGTACTATATATATATGTATGTATGTATTTTTTTTACTTTATTTCAATAATTATTTTGATTTTTTTTAGTAGCAATCACAAGCAAAACAATATAATTATTGATTTATCCCTTTTTTTTGTCCAAATCGGGCAGCCTTGCAAAAAAGCACAGCAAACCAAATTAATTGCCAGTGTTATTTTAGTATTTATAGTTTTTTTTTTAATTGAATTGATATATTTTGTTTGAAATTGTTTTCATTTATTAAATTCTGTAATTAAGTCATTTATGATTTTTTTTAAATATTAAATTACATTTTTACTTCAGTTTTGGTTTATTCCCAATTAGCAATTTAGTTTTTTCTGCTTAAACTAAAACAATTTTCTTTTCTTTTTTTTTTAATTCAGCTTTTTCAGTACTTTTTTAAACCGTGATAACTGTTAATCACAAATTGCAATTAGATTTTTTTTCTTGCATTGTCATGTCAGACAAAACATTACACATTTTGTGAATGATTACTAACCCAGAAAGTCCAAACATTGTGAGAAGTAGAACCAGGCCTGTGTCTTAAAGCAATGTTCAGTTAAAAATGACATTAAATTGTGTAAAGCCCACCTTTAAACATCTTTAGCCATTTTAACTACTGAATGCCAAGATGACAATGCGGTTACTCAAAACATGCCGCCCCATTGTCTAGTTGTCCTCTCAATGCATTTTAAGCCTTTGCTTCACATACTGTCTCACTTTGGTCTCCTGACCTCAGATATTTATAGATGTGAAATGAGTGCGACAGTCAACCTATAAAAGTCCTCGTGCATCCTTGTTTTCATGGCCTTTAAATGTGACTATTACTAGTTCACTTAGTAAAATAGTTCTTATCCTAGTTGTTCTCATAATGCTAATACTTTATATAGCACAGCATAATGCATCATTTTTGTGAGATTATCTCCCGAGATGCTCTCTAGAGTTATTTTAGACCGAGTCTCCACCTGAACAGGAAGCTGCAGTCATTAGTCAACCCTGCAGTTGTAAACTTCCTTTAATGCTTCCATCTGTATCATGTTTTCTCAAACTTTAAGTCCCACATTTGTGACCCTGGAGCACAAAAGCAGTGTTAAGTCGCTGGGGTATATTTGTAGCAATAGCCAAAAATACATTGAATGGGTCAAGATTGAGTTTTCTTTTATGCCAAAAATCATTAGGATATTAAGTAAAGATCATGTTCCATGAAGATATTTTGTAAATTTCCTGCTGTAAATATATTAACTTAATTTGATTAGTAATATGCATTGCTAAGAACTTCATTTGGACAACTTTAAAGGCGATTTTCTCAATATTTAGATTTTTTTTTTATTTTTTTGCACCCTCAGATTCCAGATTTTTAAATAGTTGTCTCGGCCAAATATTGTTCTATCCTAACAAACCATACATCAAAGGATTTTTTTTGTCCAAATCGGGCAGCCTTGCAAAAAAGCACAGCAAACCAAATTAATTGCCAGTGTTATTTTAGTATTTATAGTTTTTTTTTTTAATTGAATTGATATATTTTGTTTGAAATTGTTTTCATTTATTAAATTCTGTAATTAAGTCATTTATGATTTTTTTTAAATATTAAATTACATTTTTACTTCAGTTTTGGTTTATTCCCAATTAGCAATTTAGTTTTTTCTGCTTAAACTAAAACAATTTTCTTTTCTTTTTTTTTTAATTCAGCTTTTTCAGTACTTTTTTAAACCGTGATAACTGTTAATCACAAATTGCAATTAGATTTTTTTTCTTGCATTGTCATGTCAGACAAAACATTACACATTTTGTGAATGATTACTAACCCAGAAAGTCCAAACATTGTGAGAAGTAGAACCAGGCCTGTGTCTTAAAGCAATGTTCAGTTAAAAATGACATTAAATTGTGTAAAGCCCACCTTTAAACATCTTTAGCCATTTTAACTACTGAATGCCAAGATGACAATGCGGTTACTCAAAACATGCCGCCCCATTGTCTAGTTGTCCTCTCAATGCATTTTAAGCCTTTGCTTCACATACTGTCTCACTTTGGTCTCCTGACCTCAGATATTTATAGATGTGAAATGAGTGCGACAGTCAACCTATAAAAGTCCTCGTGCATCCTTGTTTTCATGGCCTTTAAATGTGACTATTACTAGTTCACTTAGTAAAATAGTTCTTATCCTAGTTGTTCTCATAATGCTAATACTTTATATAGCACAGCATAATGCATCATTTTTGTGAGATTATCTCCCGAGATGCTCTCTAGAGTTATTTTAGACCGAGTCTCCACCTGAACAGGAAGCTGCAGTCATTAGTCAACCCTGCAGTTGTAAACTTCCTTTAATGCTTCCATCTGTATCATGTTTTCTCAAACTTTAAGTCCCACATTTGTGACCCTGGAGCACAAAAGCAGTCTTAAGTCGCTGGGGTATATTTGTAGCAATAGCCAAAAATACATTGAATGGGTCAAGATTGAGTTTTCTTTTATGCCAAAAATCATTAGGATATTAAGTAAAGATCATGTTCCATGAAGATATTTTGTAAATTTCCTGCTGTAAATATATTAACTTAATTTGATTAGTAATATGCATTGCTAAGAACTTCATTTGGACAACTTTAAAGGCGATTTTCTCAATATTTAGATTTTTTTTTATTTTTTTGCACCCTCAGATTCCAGATTTTTAAATAGTTGTCTCGGCCAAATATTGTTCTATCCTAACAAACCATACATCAAAGGAAAGCTTATTTATTCAGCTTTCAGATGATCTATAAATCTCAATTTCGAAAAATGTACCCTTATGACTGGTTTTGTGCTCCAGGGTCACATTTGAACCTGCGGGTTTATTTGCAAAGCATGTCCCTACAGTTGTGTAAAGCTCTCTCAAATGCGTCTCCACAGGTTAAGCAGATGGCAGCCGTGCTGCTGCGGCGCCTGCTGTCCTCGTCTTTCGAGGAGGTCTATCCCAGCCTGGCCATCGACGTGCAGACGGCCATCAGGACTGAGCTGCTCGCTGGAATCCAGTCCGAAGGCTCCTCCAACATCCGCAAGAAGGTCTGCGATATCGCCGCGGAGCTCTCTCGCAATCTCATCGGTGAGTTGACTCTTCTGCTTCGGTTCGGCCGAACCAAATGGCGTCAGTGTGAACTAATGCCTTGTGTTTTTATCTCAAGATGATGACGGCAACAATCAGTGGCCAGAAATCCTCAAGTTCCTGTTTGATTCGGTGAACTCTCAAGACGTCAGCCTCCGGGAAGCAGCGCTGCACATTTTCTGGTGCGTGAAGTTTAAGCTTCTACAGTTTTGGTTACGTACTCAACTGATTCAGAGTTAGTTTATGATGTGAAATTCTCTTTCTGAACCGTTTCCTCATACAGGAACTTCCCAGGTATCTTTGGCAATCAGCAGCAGCATTACATGGAAGTGATCAAGCGCATGTTGGTTCAGTGTATGCAGGATCAGGAAAACCCACAGGTCAGTGTCTCGAGCTCGTTAGCTTCCCCCGTCACACATTTGATAACCAGATGTTTTTGAAATAATTTCAAAGTAATTTGAAAAATGAAGAGGTTATTGAGAATTTAAGTTGATAATGTGTATGTTTACAAATAGGTATACTTTTAAGAGTTTTTCTTTTTTAATAAATCTGCAAAAATGTCAACAATTCTGTGTTTTTCTGTCAATATGGGGTGCTGTGTGTACATTAATGAGGGAAAAACATTAACTTAAATGATTTTAGCAAATGGCTGCAATATAACAAAGTGTGAAAAATTTAAGGGGGTCTGAATACTTTCCGTACCCACTGTATTTACATCTTAAATATTTTTCTTTCAGTACAAAATACTAGTTATTTCATCACTTTAATTGAGTATATTGGCTTGATTTATGGTGCTTTTTCCTGTTGTCTTGTCATAGGATATCAAAGCATTTTTATTTTTTTTTTGCATACAATTGTTTTTATTTTTTTATAAAAAGTACTTAATTTAAAAATGCAGAAATGTTTATATTCAAGGTTGGTAAAATGGAGAGAAAAAAAAATCAAGAATTATGAATCATTGTGAGGAGCCTAAATAATCCCACCAAAAATCATCTGACATGTTTGATTTCCTCACTGGTTGGTTGCAAGTTTGAACTTGCTCTGTTTGTATTTAAGTGGGGTTTCCCCCCCCCCCCCCCTTTTGTCCCCTCATAGTCTTTAACCCTGATGAAAGCCTTTGAGCCAAAACGTGATGCACAATAAATAACTGGTTTTCTAAGCTTCTTTTTTTTTAGTCTTTGTTTCCTCCTCTCCACTTTGGTTTTGTGACTTTGCACTTGAGTAAACCTGCCAGAGTGACTCATTTTAAACTGCTTTCATTTTCAGATTCGAACCCTGGCTGCGCGTGCAGCTGCGTCCTTCGTCCTGTCCAATGACAGCAACACAGCTTTGCTTAAACACTTTTCAGACCTTCTTCCCGGCATCCTACAGGTGAAGAGCTCCTCACCACACCTTTGCTCAGTAACTTGCATGTCAGCTCTTTTGAATTTGGGCTTTCAGTAACTTAATGTTTTATGACTCAGAAAGTGCTAGCTAGTTCCCCCTTTATGTGCTTTTGAATATACCCTTTTGCCAAGTTCACAATGGAGAACTGAAAGTGCGGAGGACGGCATGCATATTAACACTTGTATAGTTGCCATTGGTCACTTAACGAGTTTAATGCACCCTTGTTTATCTTCATTCTAGTGTCTGCATTCATGCTTTGAGGTAAACTGGAGCATTTAATCAAAGATATTAGTCATAAAAATGGTTACACTTTATTTCGATAGTCCACTTTAGACATTCTACTAACTAGAAGTAACTTTGTAACTACATGTCAACTAATTCTCATTAATTTGCAACCACATGTCTACTAACTCTCAGAGTAGACTTAGGGTAGGTTTAGGGTTAGTAGAATAAGTTGACAAAGAAAGTGTTAGAAGATATTAAGCAGACGTTCTACTAACTGCTAGTTGACATGTAGTTGCAAAGTTACTTGCTGTTAATAGAATGTCTAAAGTGGACTATCGAAATAAAGTGTTACCATAAAAATAAATACTGCCAAATCTATGAAAATATGCTGCAGACAGTTGATCAAAAATGCACCCGTTTAAGTCTTGCCAGTTTGAACCATTCAAGTTTAAGACGTGAAAGTACTCAACATTTCCAGATTGAGTCCTGTTTCGCATCTTGCGCAAATACAATCAATTTTCAGAGTGTCATCTTGGCTAGTATCCTCATAAACAGCTGGGAAAAAAATCAGAAAGGAATAAATAGAATCTGTGCATTAGGCCTTATAGTGACAGCAGCCTAATATACCTGCTGCTGTCTGTCATTAATGTTAATCAGTTAACAAAAGAGAATCACTCACTGTTCTTGACTAAATAACTGTTGTAGCTCGAATGATATAATTTATACAGACTAAGCCGTGTTTTTACTTTTCGTCCCTTTATTCAATTTCTGTACCTAAATACTACTGTTAGACCTACCTGTTTTCTAACTTAAACCAATGTTTCTTTAATTTGTGTCTTTGTATAATTTGTAAATTATAACCGACTTTAATGTTAGGACTTTATTAGTTAGGCTAGTTAGTTTTGCTGTGGAATCAAGAATTGTGAAATTTCACTGGTATCTAAAGTGTTAGTGTTGTAACAACCTTATCTATTTGCATGTATAATTATGGGTCAAAACAACGAGGCCGGGTTTTTTTTTTTTTTTTTTTTAGCAGGGAAAGTAAAAATCTGAACAGCTGTAGAAAAAATCCTTAGTGTTGAGCCATGCGAAAAAGGAAAAAAGTGCACTACAAGAATCTTTCTTTCTCTAAACAGGCAGTGAATGAATCCTGTTACCGTGGTGACGACTCCGTGCTGAAGTCATTGGTGGAGATTGCAGACACTGCCCCCAAATACCTAAGACCAAACCTGGAAGCCACTCTCCAGCTGAGCCTAAAGGTGAGCAGACATGGAAACTGGTTGTAACTGGCTGTATTTATTTGATCAAAATATGCAGTAAGAAAATTGTGAAATTACAATTGATTTCTGTGATCAAAGTTGAGTTTTCAGCATCATTACTCCAGTCTTCAGTGTCACATGATCCTTCCGAAATCATTCTGATATGCTGATTGATTTATTGTAACTATGTACTACTGTTCAATTTTGGGGACGGTGCATTAGTTTTTTTTTTATTAATTCAGCAAGGATGTTAAATGTGACGATCAAGATTTTTATTTATTATATTTCTAATGTTTCTGTTTTACTTTTACATTTACGTTTTAATGAGTTTTGACAGAATTCTGTTCCTAACTTTTATTCATCAAAGAATCCTGAAAAACGTATCACAGGTTCCAAAAAAAATATTGGGCAGCACAACTGTTTTCAATGTTGGTAATAATCAGAAATGTTTCTTAATCAGCAAATCAGCATATTATACTGATTTCTGAAGATCATGTGACACTGAAGACTGGAGTAATGATGCTGAAAATACAGCTGCGCATCACAGAAATAAATTCACATAGAAAATGGTTATTTTAAGTTGCAATAATATTTCACAATTTTATTTATTTTACTCTATTTGATAAAAAAATAAAAATGCAGCCTTGATGAGCAGAAGAGACTTCTTTAAAAATAAAAAAATGTTAAGTCTTACTGATCCATAACCGTGTGTGTGTATGCATCTCTTGCATTATTAACCTCTTCAGTTGTGCCTGGTGGTTCCTTGAGGCAGTTCGTCTGTGCTGATCCATGAGGTTTTATTTAACAGGCACATATCGATCTCTGCGATTTAATGCTTGGAAGTTGCCATTCCCATGCAGCTTCCACAGCCCGGTTGCAGAAACATGTTATCATGGGTGTGTAAGCACGTTGAGCCTCAAACTAAAACCCTGTACTGCTTTCAGAGTGAGAATGATGCACAAAGACTCACTGTAAACCATGTGACCTTTTTAATAGATCGAGACAAATGCAGAATAACAATCATTATAATCTGATTAAGACCTCGTTTGACTCCAGTTGTGCGCAGACACCAACCTTACAAACATGCAGCGGCAGCTGGCGCTGGAAGTCATCGTCACACTGTCTGAAACCGCTGCTGCAATGCTGAGAAAACACACCAACATCGTTGCTCAGAGTGGTAAGAGAGGGACATTTAACGCTCCCTACGTTACAATACTGATTACCACAGTCAAAGCTAATGAAAGTGAAACTTGTCAAGCTTAAAGCTACACAAAGTGCACCGTACCATGCAACTTAACTTGCATTTTGACATTTTGCATTAGTGAAAAAATTATTGCAGTTCAGAAGCAATTGGTACATTGTCACGCTTCAGAAAAATGAAGCTGATTGCAGTGCTAATTAGTTACTCTCCCAACACTTAATTACTTGCCAAATTGTAGTTTAATAATGTTTGCTCTTAAATGTTTAGTACCTCAGATGTTGAGTATGATGGTGGATCTGGAGGAGGATGAGGAGTGGGCCATGGCTGATGAACTAGAAGATGATGATTTTGACAGGTGAGATTAATATTTGCATAAAAAGTACAGTAATACTGTTTTGGGGGGCAGCAGACAATTGTTTGCTCATGCTAAATATATAACCACAGTTTAGCCGCAATTGACTAATCCAAGTATTCATGGTCACTGGGTAATTGGCATACTAGTCATTTTCCAGTTACTAAAAATAGTTTGTTTCGGCAGCTCGCTAGGATTTGATCTCTGTGGAATTTTGTGGATTTTAAGAACGTAGTACAAATTGATGCTTTGAAAAGGAGCTGAAAGTCCTAAATTCATAGTCATGGCAATAAATTGATATTAAGTCTTGTTTAAAAAAAACGTAAACAACCTAAAACCATAAACCTATTACTTGAAATAAACTTGCATTTAAAAATATAAAGACTTTTTATTTCAGCTAGTTGATGAGGCAAAACTTTCCAATTTATTTAGTTTTGCTTGTAAAAACTTAAACTGAAAAACTTTTTAAAACTGTTGACATTAATAAACAGTGCTGACAAAACTCACAACAAAATTAAATTAACAAATTTAAATATTAAAAATAAAATTCAAATTGATAAACATTAAAATAAACTTGAATAGTTATATATAGATAGATAGATATAGATAGATAGATATAATATATCGGCCACCATATCGGTATCGGCCGATAAATGCTCATTTTTTCTGTTATCGGTATCGGCCTGAT